CTTCAGCTCAGGTCATGGTTTTGTAGTTCATGGATTCAAGCCCTGGGTTGGGATCTGTGCTAACAAACAGCTCAGAGCCTGGAGACTGCTTCGGATTCTGTGTCTCCCTCACTCTCCCCCTCCCCTGCTCGTCCTCTGCCTTTCTCGGTCATTCAAAAATAAATAAATGTTAAAAAAACAAGACAACTAAATATAAGGTGGTACCCTCAGACAGAAAAAGGACATCAGATAAAAACTAAGGAAACCTGAATCAACTCTGGAATTTGGTTGAGAGAATGAAAGCAATCACTTTGCTCGCACTAAAGCTAGTAATGTTTTACTGGACCCAAAGGCTTTATTAAATAACATTCAAAAAAGTAATTTCATCTTGTTTATACTTTCCAGGTTTCTATTTTATATATATATATATATATATATATATATAATTTTCAAATAATTATACTTACAGGGCACATACTAAAGATGTTTTATTTTTTTTTAATGTTTATTTTTGAGAGAGAGCGAGCATGAGGCGGGGAGGGGCAGAGAGACAGACACAGAGTCCAAAGTAGGCTCCAGGCTCTGAGCTGTCAGCACAGAACCCGACGTGGGACTCAAACCTATGGATCATGAGATCACGATGCCCAACTGACTGAGCCACCCAGGCACCTCTAAAAATGTTTTATTGATGGAGGTCAGAAAGAGCCACTGACTTCCGTATCTGAAGTTGTTGGAGCTAGGCAAGCTTGGCCATGCAACTATTGAAGACTTCTCAAGTGATGTCCCATCCATTTCAAGGATACTGAAATAAATACCTGTGAATTCTGTCTCTTGTCCTGTCCCCTCTGGACACCTGCGTTTCTCCATGGCGGTTTCATACTAACAGCCTGCAGTTAAGGAGTGCTAGACAGAAGTACCCCCAGCTGGAAGTACCCCATTTTCGTCAGTAATAAAGGCAAGATAATCTTGTTTTAGAAGAACCACTCTACCTTTTGTCCCAGAATAAAGAACCTGTTGCACATACCACAGACTTTGGCTCTACGCTGATTGGCATGTGACCTTGTGGCCATGTTTCAACCGTGAAAGGAGAGAAGCCATGAGGGCCCTTCTACTTCCTTCTCTTCATTTTCTCCATGTCCATCACTTCTAAGGAGTAAGGGTAAGACAGTACGTTCCTTTAGAGTGAACCCCTGGGCTTCATGCAAATCTGAGGGACTCGTGACCTCCCAATTCACGTCTCCTAGCAAAGAGTATCAGTGTGACAGCAAGTGAAACCAAAAGAGATTGTCAGGTCACCTGGGCTGGCTCCGACCTCAGCTGCTGGGCTCCGATTTGTAACTGAGAGCAGACAGGGAAGTAGGAGGGCCTTGCGCCAGTCAGCTCAGAGCCCTGGCACCTAATGCTGACGGCAAGGTGGGCAGGGCCACATTCCCCAGAAGGCAAAGCTGAGTCACCAAGGCAGATACCAGGAGATGAGTAAGTTTCTCTCAGTCTCCAAAGAGGGGACGGTGCCACCAGGGAGCAGAGTGGAGCTGGTCTAGGGTGAGGCCTGCTGGGAAGTCCTTGCCGGACACACACCTCATCGCTGTGGGCGTTCCCTCTCAAGATGAAAAAAATACTCTTTAGAACTACCGTATCTGCAGATCTAGACCAATCCAGGGTGAGGGAGGCCTGTGAGCCCAGTTGCCAGCATGTTCGCTGCCTCTGTACTGAACCTGTATGGGTTCACGGATGGTGACTGGAAACAGTGCAATTTCACCAGCCCCAAACTCCTCTGGGGCCCATTGACTGGAATGCTGGTAATGGATAAAGGTCCTAGTAGCTGACCAGTTGGATGGGTCCTAGTTGACAGGTACCAGCTGTGAGGTGACCCCCAGGACGGAGGTATGGCAAACAAGGGAACTACTGGAACAGCTCTGAGCCTGGATCTCTGCTCCATCACTTACCAGTCGAAAGACCTCTGCTTTCTCTAAGATAAGAACACCCATGCTGTAAAGGTTAAGACAATTAAATGAGACGCTGCATGTAGAGCAGCTAGCAGATGGCAGGCACTAAAATAAATGGAGCTGGGCTGTTCGATTTGGAACCAGATAAGGAATGCTCAAACTACACTTTCCAGCTGATATGGCACAAGGTCAAGTGACAACACTTTCAAGACCACTCTAGCAGAAACTGGCTTTAAAAATTAAAAGTTTCCTTTCTCCTCCCCACGCTTTCCTGGTAGCCATATGATGGCCAACACAGGAGGAAGAGGCAGATGGGGAAGTGCTGACGGTTACAAAGAACCAGCCTGTTCAACTGGTTTGCTCCGTGGTGTTTCCTGGCCACAGGTTCATAACGTGCACATTCATTATATTCTAGTACCGTAAGCAAGATTCATGCATTGTACATACATGTACATTTACATACAGACATATGCAATGTTACCTCAACTGCACCATGTATGTAAACCGGCATTACAATCAGCTGTGGTGAGGACACTAAGATTAGCCCCTGAATTTACTCTTATACATGAAGCTAGACATTAAAAATACTTAAATCACTAGTGAAAACCACCCCCAGGCACAAAGTGCCATAAGCAGACAGCAGGTAAACAAACCTCCTTCAATGAGAAAACAGCACCTCCTAGTGGTACATCATTAAAGAAACAGAAATCAGGGCTGGAAATACTTCTCTGAAAATCCAGACACAAGCCCCACTCATTCTTTCTAATTCCAAAAAGAAAAGCCTCATATTAATAAATATTAGCTCAAATTAAATTTTGCTGTACATAACTCTCAACTAACTTTCCCTCTTATTATTTTTTTACTACTAGAAAGAGAACGTGTACATGAGTAAGAGGGTTAGAGAAAGCAAAGGGAGAAGAGAGAGAATCTCAAGCAGGAGCCCCATAGTGCAGAGCACGACACAGGGCTCGATCCCACATCTGGGATCATGACCTGAGTCAAAATCAAGAGTCAGATGCTCAACTGACTGAGCCACACAGGTGCCTCACACTTTTTTTTTTTAACAGACCACGATCAAATAAATGATTGCTACACACTTACAGGAAATGAATAGCTCAAAAGGAAAATGTAACTTAAAGAAAATTTAAAATTCTGATGTACGATTTGGCATCATGAAAAGGGATGTCAAAGAATAAAATAAAGCAGCTCCTATGAAATTTTAAACTTAAAAAATTCACAAGGCTGTAAGATAAAGCAATCACCCAGATTATAGACTAAAACTACATAAACAGAATTTTTTTAAAAAAGAGGAAGCAATCGGGGCACCTGGGTGGCTCTGCTGGTTGAATGTCAGACTCTGGTTTCGGCTCAGGTCACGATGCCAGGGTCTTGGGATTCAGCCCCGCAAAGGCTCCATGCTGTCTGAGGCCTGCTTACAACTCTCTCTGGCCCTCTCCCTGACTCCTGCTCTCTCTTAAAAATAAACAAACAAACAGGAAGCCATCAAGAAGTACAAGGTTTAACCAAATTAGCATTTGAGAAAACAAAATACAGTGGAGAAAATCAAAGATACCTGCCTTCAGATTGAAGGCATTGTCCCTTAGTTTTTTTAAAAGATTTTATTTTTTTAAAGTCATCTCTACACCCAATATGGGGCTCGAAGTTACAACCCCAAGATCAAGAGCCACATGTTCTACTGACTGAGCCAGCTGGGCTCCCTGAGTTTTTAAATGAAACTGGAATTGAAGCCTAGGAGCCCAACTTGCTGGAGCAGAGGAATTCCTGCCCCTGCGTGCACCTGGCAGCCCCCTAGGGAAGGAAGACGTCCTGAGTCTGGAAAGCAGAAGGGTTAAAGCCGTCATAACAGACTGACACCGGGCCAATGAAACAAGGAGTCGTGGTGGAAGTTAAAGTATTTATTGATGTGTTTAAACTGTACATTCTCCAGAGATCAGATTAAAGAGTTTGTGGGTGAACTTTATCTATGCATAGTGGAAAGACACATGGATCAGGTGAAGGAGAGGAAGAGAAGAAAAAAAGCCACAGGGAAATAGAAAAAAATACCCCACAGGTTACCAGAACCTTCAGAATTAAAAAAAAGGGGGGGGGGG